CTGCAGTACTGTAAGTACCACTCACGCAGCTGCTCCGATGAGAGGCCTCCTCCAGGTGTAGGACCCTCAGGCCCAGTACCTCCAGACTCAGAACCCCCTGACTCCGTACGCTGCGGCTCAGCACCCCCAGGCTCAACACTCCCAGGCTCAACACCCCCAGGCTCAGCACCCGCAGGCTCAGCACCCCCAGGCTCAGCACCCCCAGGCCCCGCACCCCCAGGCTCAGCACCCCCAGTCTCCGCACCCCCAGGCTCAGCACCCCCAGTCTCCGCACCCCCAGGCTCCGCACCCGCAGCAGGACGAGAGTCGACAGCAACCTCAACAGGCTCAACCGGGTCTACCTGAGACACACCTGAGGGAGCGGCACCCTGAGGGGGGAGGGGGTCTATGACAGCAGCACCTGGCGTGAGGAAGAGAGGCGGTGGGGGGAGCGGGGCAGTGCGGTAGGGGAAGAGGCGGTAGTAGGGGACGGACTCGTCAAAAGTGACGTCCTGAGAGGGCAAGACTCGGTGCGAGGTGGCGTGGTAAAACAGCCAACCAGGCGCGTCCGGGACAAAGCCGAGGAAGACACAGGGAACAGCACGGGAGGAGAGCTTGTCCGCAGACGTATCGCGGACAAAAGCTCGAGATCCCCAGATTCGGCAACCGGACGCATCGCCAACCTCCCCCGTCCACAGCAGTGTGGGCGAGGTCTCCGGTAAGGAGCCACGGGGCCAGAGGTTGAGCTGATGCGCAGCGTACCGGACTGCAAACGGCCACAGAAAGTGGGGGGCAGCCGCATGGATCAAGGAGGTACGGGCGACCTCCATGACCAGGCCAATGCGGCGCTCCGCAACCCCATTCTGCTGTGGAGAGGCCGGAAGCAAGAACGACTACTCAATGCCGTGCTCAGCACAGTAGGCTGCCAAGAGGTCGGAGGAGAACTCACCACCTCTGTGAGAGTGCAAGCGTAGGACAGGAAAGTCTGAGTGGAAACGCTCGCTGAGCTGGAGACTGGCTCTGCGGATCCAAGGGATCAAGACATCAGGGACCTCACCCTTGGTGCGCAAGGGGAAGACCGTGGTGTAGCGCGAGTAGTCGACAACAACTATCAGGAAGTACCTCTCCTGACCCTGACCACAGACGCAAGCTGGGCCCCACACGTCCATGTGGAGCGTCTGCAAAGGAGCAGTCATCGGAAGAAAAGAGGAGGAGTGAGGAGCGGCGCGCTGCCGCCCCTCGACACAGGGAAGACAGGGAGGAGCAGGCGAGGGTGGGAGGGGAGGGAGGACCCTGGGAAGACCAGAGACAAGGTACCGGGAGTGCATGGCACGAAGGCGCTGCACAGACGGGTGGCCAAGTCGGTGGTGCCAGAGGACAGTCTCGTGCTCTAGAGAGCAACACGAGTAGGGGGCAGACAGCTGACTTGACGCGGATGCAGACGCAGACGCAGCGACCTGAGGGGAGGCAGTAGTCAGTGTGTACAGGTCCGACCCCGGCTGCCGGGTGAAGGTAGCCAAGTGGCGGCCCGTACGAGCACACGTGCAGTGTGTCACACGCTCGTAGGCAGGGGTGAACTGGTGAACACCCCCGTCCTGGAGTGCACAACCTGCCACCAAGTTCGTAGAGAACGAGGGGAGCTGGAGACCTAACAGTGTGCCCGACGGGACCGCAGGATAGGGAAGGACAGTGGAGGAGGTCCCAATGATCGGACCCCCAGAGGGGTCAGCGAGGGAGAAAGCAACCGGCCGAGCAAGTGGCTCAAGGGCAGTGCGGTCACGAAAGAAGCAGCGAGAGGCACCTGAGTCTAGAGTGAAGGTGTGCAGTGCTGTAGTCGACTCAGGACCACGGGGGGCAGACGCACAAGCACCTAGAGCAGCTGCCTCACCAGCACCTGGGGTAGCAGACACGCGAGCACCTGAAGCGGCAGACGCACTAGTCCTAATGCCCGAGTCGGGCGGGACACACAGGTACTCAGCACCCTCTCCACTAGTAGACATCACATACATAGCAGTGAGAATAGCATCAAAGTCTAGAGCATAGATATCAATCCCCTTCTTCAGGAGATCAATCGAGCGGGGCAGCTCAGTGGCCTGAGGGAACTGAACACGCCAAGCGTCGTTCAGACGAGCGAAGCATCGCTGTATGGCGTGCGGTCCCCCACACGGCTGGCCATTGCGGTCACCAGTGCCAATGACGTACGTGCAGCTAAGGCCACCCCCCCCCCCCCCCCCCCTCGTGCTGAGAGTACCACTCACGGACCTCCTGGGGCAACGGAGTGTGCTGCTGGCCCTGGCCACCGCCAGTGCCTCCACGACCACCACCGCCGCCACCACCTCCTCGACCACCCCAACCCCTGCCGCCGCCGCGTCCACCGCCACCCCCACCACCTCCTCCGCCCCGGCCACCTCCCTCGCCGCTGCCGCCACCCCCCCCACCGCTGCCACCTGTCCCTCCAGTCGCGCCACCACCCCCACCGCCACCACCTCCCCCACCACTGCCTCCCTCGCTGTCACCACCACCGCCCTTGCCCCCTTTGCCCTTGCCGCTGCGGCGCCCGCTCGAGGCAGACGCAGTCCCGACCTTCTCAGAACCAAGGAGGTCGACAGCAGTAGCAGAGGCGACAGAGGGAAGAAGGGGGGAAGGAGAACACCCCTCAAAGAACGGGGTACGGGGGTCACCACGAGAGGCACCTACAGCGACTATGCTAGCCTCAGCTGCAAGGAGTTCCTTCTCGAGGAGGGCAATGGTGAGCTCAGTGGGGCAGCAAGCTAGGAAGTGGTCTCTGACTGAGCGCAGAGTGTCAGGGAGGCGCGTGACTAGGTGGTAGAGAGTGAGCCAGAGCGGGGGTGGGTTCGTAGCTAGGAACTCATCAGGCATAGCGGCGCGGAAGCGAGCCTCACTAGTGCGGAGATGTGTAATGAGGTCAGCGACTGTGTGGAAAGAGGCTAAGTCGGGGAACAGGTAGGGAAGAGAGAGACTGCCTAGTGCGGCAGAGGCCGGTGAGGAGTAGCGGGCAACGACAGCAGTGTACAGTGCCTGCGCAGTCTTGTGCTACCCAAAGTGCTCGCGCTCATCTATCGGCAGAGAGTTGCGAATAGCGAAGCGAGCGTGGGCGTCACGAGTCTGCCACTGTGAGCGGGCAGTGCTGTCAGCAGTAGCAGCAAAAGCAGTAGCGTGGCCTAGGGCGTGATCGTACAGGGTGATGTCTTCCTTGGCATTGAGCTGTAGGAAGAGGTGTAGGTCATCAAGCCAGGTTTCAAACTTCACTGGGCGGCCCTCAGCATCAAAAGCTAGCACAGGAGGGCTAGCCATAGCAGTAGTAAGAGTAATAGAAGCAGCAGTAGGAAAAGCGGTAGGGGCACCCAAAGGACAGGTAGGGCGGCTTGGTACAGGTAGGGCGGCGCGGATCCGTAAGGGCGGCGCGGCTCGGTACAGGTAGGGCGGCGCGGCTCAGTAAGGGCGACGCGGCTCGGTGAAGGTAGGGCGGCGCGGCTCGGTAAGGGCGGCGTGGCTAGGTTCGGGTGGCGCGGCTCGGTTAGGGCTGGGCGGCTCAGGCCGGGCGGCTCGGTTCGGACTGGGCGGCTCGGTTCGGGCTGCTCGGTTTGGGCGGCTCGTTCAGGGTGGGGCCGTTCGGGGCCTCTAGAGGCGAGCGCGGGGGGGGGGGGGGGGGGGGGGGGGTGGCGATCGGGGGCCTCTAGGGACGAGCGCGGGGCCGATCGGGGCCTCTAAGGGCGAGCGCGGGGCCGATCGGGGCCTCTAAGGGCGAGCGCGGGGCCGATCGGGGCCTGTAGGGGCGAGCGCGGGGCCGTACGGGGCCGCTAAAGGCGAGCGCGGGGCCGATCGGGGTCATTAGGGACGAGCGCGGGGCCGTAAGGGGCCGCTAAGGGCAAGCGCGGGGCCGATCGGGGCCTTAGGGACAAGCGCGGGGCCGTAAGGGGCCGCTAAGGGCGAGCGCGGGGCCGATCGGGGCCTCTAGGGGCAAGCGCGTGGGCCGTTTGGGGCCTCTAGGGGCGAGAAAACCAAGGCGCCCTAGGGCGTAGGTAGGTAGGTAGGTAGTGGTGGGCCCTAAAAAAAATCGGTCCTAGGAAGGACCTGCTCTATACCCTGTTGAACAGGAATGGATGAACTAACAGTGAAATGAGTTCAAGTAGGAAACCCTAGAATTGTGTACCCCCTATAGGATAACCCACTGTAGCCTAAACAACTACAACACATATATATAATGTTTGACACCCACCCCATGCCACGTCACCCCCTACCCAGCTGATACGCGTCACCTCGTCATGCGCCGCTCCCGTGTAACCTTCCAAGCCACCACGTCAGCCCCAAGCCTCACATCCCGCCACGTCACACCCTCCTGCATCCGCCAAGTCAGGGAACAACCAGCCCCACGTGCCACGTCACAACCACCCACCCCATGCCACATCACCCCCACCCACCTGACACACATCACCTCGTCACGCGCCGCTCCGGTGTACCCGTCCAAGCCGCCACGTCACCCCCAAGCCTCGCATCCCGCCACGTCACACCCTCCTCCATCCGCCACGTCAGGGAACAACCAGCCCCATGTGCCACGTCACACCCACCCATCCACCCCATGCCACGTCACCCCACCCACCTGACACGAGTCACCTCGTCATGCGTCGCTCCGGTGTACCTTTTTAAACCCCCACGTCAGCCCCAACCCGCCCCATTTGGCCCGCCACATACCGGGAATGGGTTTGTCTCCTGCAACACTAGCATTCGTGCCTTGTCCACAGCACTCATCGGCGGCGGGGTACCAGCCATAGGCGCGGCTGTGAAACCCCCGGCATAACTGGCAGGTACTCCACGACGCAGGCCGAGCTGTGCAAACATGGCATACATCTCAGACCGCAGCGCCTGGAACTCCTCCCGTGTAACAAACTGCTCGTGCTCCGCACTTTCACCTAGGGCACCCACGAGCGGTGGAAAAGGGTGTGAAGAATCCCCCCTCTGGCCAAGGGTTTCAGCATCTTCTTCAGCAGTCCCGTGTGCCCTCACACTGTCACGCTGGCGGGAAAAGGGGAGCTCAGGGAAGGGATTGGCAGAAGTGCTTGGCTGATGCCCGCGCGAAGGACCAGCGAGGGGGGAGACCGACCTGCCCCGGACAGGAGAAGCGTGTAGCGGTCGAAATGGGTACGAGGGTGAGGCGAGTGAGGAGTGCGTGACGGGGCCTTGTGGAGGTGATTCGGATTCCTCTCCACTTGGCGCGCCGGGAGCCGTCGCAGCGACTTTGCTCAGGCCGGAGTACGGCGTGAAGAACCTTGGGGCTCCTGTGGATAGCGGCATCACACTCGCTCTTCCGGCCCCCTTCGTTAGCTGCATCTTTTGCACGCTTACCAGTGGCCCAATGCCTGTAACGCAAGGGGCTGAGATTTAGAGGGAGTAGGATCAAGAAATTAAAGTCGATCGGTATCAATACAGGGCCAGACAGTCATGCATGAAATCAATGGTTTGAATCTAAATCAGGCTTAGCCATGTACTATTTTGAGACAGGAGACTTTACCTTTCTTTGCAGATTCGTCGTCCTTCTCCTTCCCTGCAGGGGAGAAACAACGTGTAGAATGGTGCTATTTGGCACGGTTGAGCAGAGAGTGCAACAACCATGCCCGGTGTATTGGCCAGGGTGCTCACCTTTCTGCTGTCCCTTCGGTTTTTTTGGGGCTAGCGCCTTCTCGTTGCCACCTTTCTGCGGGGTGCTTTGACGGCCGCTGCGACGTTTACCGGCAGGTTCTTTCTTGCCAGTACCCAATGGAACCCCTTTGGCGCCGCCACCCTTACCTCCTCCATCCCCTTTTGCTCCCTGGCGCCCTTGCTTTTTACCACCCCCTTCACTTTTGACCTTCACCTTACGCGCCTTCGGTCTGCTAGCTGATGCGCCGCGCGCGGCGTCAACTGCTACACGTTTCCGGGAATGGCGAGTCCGGCCCCCCACCTTCCCTGTACCAATCTGCCGTCTGCCACGCCCGCCCCTTCCCTTCACTGCCGCCACATCCTCCTCCTCCTCCCCCTCTTCCTCCTCCTCCTCCTCCTCCTCCTCCTCCTCCTCCTCCTCCTCCTCCTCCTCCTCCTCCTCCTCCTCCTCCTTTGCCTCCTCCTCCTCCTCCTCCTCCTCCTCCTCCTCCTCCTCCTCCTCCTGTTCATCCTCCTCCTTGTCGTTCCCATGCTCTTCCTCCTCCTCCTCCTTCTCCTCCTCCTCCTCCTCCTCCTCCTCCTCCTCCTCCTCCTCCTCCTCCTCCTCCTCCTCCTCCTCCTCCTCATCCTCCTCCTCTTCGTCCTCCCCGGCATCATTCTCATCTTTTTCATCCTCCCCAACATCCACGTCATCCTCCTCCACATCCTCTTCATCCTCCTCTTCCTGCGCATCCTCCTCCTCGGCCTCACCAGGGTCTTCACCACCCCGTTTCTTGCCCCTCCTTCCGCCGGGTGTTTTTCTTGCTGCGGGTCGGCCCTTTTGGCACAATGCATGACCCGACGCTTTGCCACTAGCTTCACTGGCGCCTCGCGTTCTCCCAACTTCCGCGCCACCGGCGTCGTCGGCACTGCCTGTTGTCTGCCGCTTCTTTGCCCGCGTGGTGATGTCCCCGGGCACGGCGGTGTAAGAATCGTCCTCCTCATCGCTCCTCCTCTGCCTACGTCTCCCTCGTCCACTAGAAGGAGGAGAACCACCAACGTCGGCTATGCCGTGGTTAGGATCCTCCATCGACTCGTGCTCCCCCACCTTGTCCTTATCCAACACGGCAGTAGAAATTTCGACCACGGTCAGCTGGAGCAGCGTCAGATGGTGTTGAGATGCCTCCGCCTCGGACTCCTTGGTTGCGGTATGCTCGGCGCGTGGATCGCCTCCGTGGTTTCCCCCTGTCCCCGATCCCTCTTTCTCCGCCAACGGGACTGCAAGACTCGCGCTCCCTCGCCCGGGATGTTCGTTGCCGCCACTGGTGCCGTCGTTAGTCGGACCGGGCGTGGTTCCAGTTGAGGCAACATCCGCATCTTTGTTCACTGTAGAAACACACTTGCGTGGCATTGGTTGCTTCCCGTTGTCTGCCGCCTTCCTGCCGGACTTCTCTTGACCGTGCGCGACCTTCTTTGCCGCCACCTTTTTCAGCCCAGTGCCATGCGCAACGGATGCATTAGTTTTCTTAGCGCCGCCGCCACCCTCCCTATCGGTCCGTTTAGACATCGTTCTTGTCGCTCGGCGTCCGGCCTGTTACTCCTCCATTGCTTGTTGACGTGTGGCACGTGTCATGGTTGCCGTAGGAATGCCAATTTCTATCGCGCGAAATGGGTTAGCCTGTTTTGAAGGGCCACAGCAACTGAATACCACGAGGTGTTTAACGACGGCCTATCATTGTTATGTTTCTCCGAAAACCGCTGCTATAACTAAAACTGAAATAGTAGCCACTCATCACAGAGCTACGGCCCGTGACTTAGTATACTGGTGAGTCACGTGCGATCTAGAAACGCGCTTGTCAAACAGCGAGCAGCGTCTAAGTGTTGGCACAGAGGGTGACGGGAGCAGGTGGGTGGGGCACGAGGGTGGTTGGGGTGGGTTGCGAGACTAAAGAGATTACTGTAACCCTATCAAGCTATATCGGACGGTGTACGTGTAGCCACCCGTGCATAAACCCGCCTACTGCTCGATCTCATCCGCTCAATGGTGGAAGTACCTCTTGGCTGGTGCTTGTGTTGTGTAGGGACTCGTTTGAGATGCATTGGCCAATCACGGTTGCCAACTCATCAATCTCTACGCATGGTATGACATTTTTAGAACCTCAAGTGCAAATGTAACCTTATCCTTGCAAAGTACAGTGATCTCGTGAACGCACAGTGTTGAACATGTACGCTGAATAAATTTAAAAAATACAACTATAAAAAACATCCAAAACTTTGATGCTCTTGGTTTAATATGGGGTTGCCGCCGGTAGTGGGTTTGTCTCATGTGTCACACACAAAGTGTAACAAACGAACGTGTTGATGAATAGTAACAGACGACAAAAAGTTGTTGTATGGTGTTGGATTGTCATCCATTCTTGCACGGACATTCAACAAGGTGCTTAGAAGGAGTGGTATGAAGCACAGGCCCAACGCACAAGCGTAGATGCGTTCTCGACAGCAGTGTTTAGACAGTGCGACAATGCCGCGTTCCGGCCTGTGTGTTGCGCGACAAGGTGAATCCGTTGTGGTTTGGCTTTGGATTGTCATCCATTCTCGCACGGACATTCAGCAAGGTGCTTAGAGAGAGTGGTATGAAGCACAGGCCCAACGCACCAGCGTAGATGCATTCTCGACAGCAGTGTTTAGACAGTGCGACGATGCCGCGTTCTGGCCTGTGTGTTGCGCGACATGGTGAATCCGTTGTGGTTTGGCGTTGGATTGGATTGTAATCCATTCTTGCACGGACATTCAACAATGTGCTTAGAGAGCGTGGTATGAAGCACAGGTCCAATGCACAAGCGTAGATGCGTTCTCGACAGCAGTGTTTAGACAGTGCGACGATGCCGCGTTCCGGCCTGTGTGTTGCGCGACAAGGTGAATTCGTTGTGGTTTGGCGTTGGATTGTCATCCATTCTTGCACGGACATTCAACAAGGTGCATAGAGAGAGTGGTATGAAGCACAGGCGCAACGCACAAGCGTAGATGCGTTCTCGACAGCAGTGTTTAGACAGTGCGACAATGCCGCGTTCCGGCCTGTGTGTTGCGCGACATGGTGAATCCGTTGTGGTTTGGCGTTTGATTGGATTGTCATCCATTTTTGCACGGACATTCAACAAGGTGCTTAGAAGGAGTGGTATGAAGCACAGGCCCAACACACAAGCGTAGATGCGTTCTCGACAGCAGTGTTTAGACAGTGCGACGATGCCGCGTTCCGGCCTGTGTGTTGCGCGACAAGTTGAATCCGTTGTGGTTTGGCGTTGGATTGTCATCCATTCTTGCACGGACATTCAACAAGGTGCTTAGAGAGAGTGGTATGAAGCACAGGCCCAACGCACCAGTGTAGATGCATTCTCGACAGCAGTGTTTAGACAGTGCGACGATGCCGCGTTCCGGCCTGTGTGTTGCGCGACATGGTGAATCCGTTGTGGTTTGGCGTTGGATTGGATTGTAATCCATTCTTGCACGGACATTCAACAATGTGCTTAGAGAGCGTGGTATGAAGCACAGGTCCAATGCACAAGTGTAGATGCGTTCTCGACAGCAGTGTTTAGACAGTGCGACGATGCCGCGTTCCGGCCTGTGTGTTGCGCGACATGGTGAATCCGTTGTGGTTTGGCGTTGGATTGGATTGTCATCCATTCTTGCACGGACATTCAACAAGGTGCGTAGAGAGAGTGGTATGAAGCACAGGCCCAACGCACAAGCGTAGATGCGTTCTCGACAGCAATGTTTAGACAGTGCGACGATGCCGCGTTCCGGCCTGTGTGTTGCGCGACATGGTGAATCCGTTGTGGTTTGGCGTTGGATTGGATTGTCATCCAGTCTTGCACGGACATTCAACAAGGTGCATAGAGAGAGTGGTATGAAGCACAGGCCCAACGCACAAGCGTAGATGCGTTCTCGACAGCAGTGTTTAGACAGTGCGACGATGCCGCGTTCCGGCCTGTGTGTTGCGCGACAAGTTGAATCCGTTATGGTTTGGCGTTGGATTGTCATCCATTCTTGCACGGACATTCAACAAGGTGCTTAGAGAGAGTGGTATGAAGCACAGGCCCAACGCACCAGTGTAGATGCATTCTCGACAGCAGTGTTTAGACAGTGCGACGATGCCGCGTTCCGGCCTGTGTGTTGCGCGACATGGTGAATCCGTTGTGGTTTGGCGTTGGATTGGATTGTCATCCAATTCTTGCACGGACATTCAACAAGGTGCTTAGGGAGCGTGGTATGAAGCACAGGTCCAATGCACAAGTGTAGATGCGTTCTCGACAGCAGTGTTTAGACAGTGCGACGATGCCGCGTTCCGGCATGTGTGTTGCGCGACATGGTGAATCCGTTGTGGTTTGGCGTTGGATTGGATTGTCATCCATTCTTGCACGGACATTCAACAAGGTGCTTAGAAGGAGTGGTATGAAGCACAAGCCCAACGCACAAGCGTAGATGCGTTCTCGACATCGCTGTTCAGACGCGACGACGTTGCAGCGTTCAGGCCCGTGGCTTACGCGGCATGGTGAAACGGTTGTGGAATGGTGTTGCTTCCCAAATGGTAGTAGACCACACTAACGGTGTTGTTTCTAAACACTGCCGTTGTCAATATGCCGGAAGGTATTGAGCATGCCGTAAAGTATGGTTGTATAATCGTTATGAGTGACATTAAGTAATTTGTTATATGTAACTGTACAATGGTATTACCTGGTTTGGATTAAGGCTATGCGGGTGCGCACCACTTTGGACACACCTACGTGATCACGATCTCCCCCCTATAGAGAATCTCGAAAGAATCACAACACCAAACAGATCTCTTCCCTCTCTTCCTCTCCCACCTCGACTCTCACACGCGATTCAAAAACCAAAGTTTTGAATACGGAGGCACGTACTCCTCACCGTGCTCGTCACGCACGCCCGCGACCAAGCTAGCCGCACACCACTGCATAAGGCCCTGCTCACGTCGTAATCACTCTAACAGGGGGCGACACGCCTTGTAGGAAAGGCCTATGCCGTGCTGTCGGCGGTCTGTATATAGGCTTGTCACGGCCGTGCTGCGCGACCATCGTTAGCCAGTCTCTCACTAATGCGCCACGATCAAGTGCCAGGCGTGCAGAGATCCTAGCCGCCGTGGACACTGTGCGCTGTGGCGATGACCGTGCTGGAGTCCGAGCCTTCATTGACCGTGAAGTAAAAGCGTTTACAAGCTCCAAACTGGCTAGTCTCCTCACACTACATTCCACCACTCTTAGACGGATCTAGAATACATGGGCTCTTTGCCAGGTGTAGTATGCGAGTTTTGCAACAGATGGTTCCCCAACGCCCAGGTTTATGGTGGCCATAAGTCGCGGCGGACCCCTTGTCAAGGGCTTTCCGCCGTGGCAAGGCCCTCCTCGTCTGCACCGTCTGCCGGTCTACACGCTCTGCTGTTCGTCCATGACATTCTGTCAGACGCTCCCGCTGCACCCGCTTCCGCTACCGCGTCTAACGCGTCCAACACCGACGGTGTGAATGGTCCTCCTCGCGTGCCCGAAGCTGAAGAGGACGCGACACCCTCGGCTGTGAACGTGGGGGCTCCTGAAAGTGAGCATCAACCGCCTCCCGGAACACATACCTCTGACACGAGTGAGCATCCGGAGAGCCGCCCTGAAGAGAGTCACGCCGCACCGCCGACATGCATCTCTGGGCAGAGCAATGCCACGCCCCTCAATCTGCTTGCGTTGAAGCTTCTGCATTTCATGCGGCGCGTAAATGGAGGAATGGGAATGACGGAGATCGACATCAATGGCCTGCTTCAGCTCGTGGTGGAGCCCGGCCTTGCGCCTCTTGTGATCTCGGAGATCCGGAACTGCAAGGATCTGGAGCAGTTCGAGATGGAGCGCTTGTTCGGGCTCAATCGCGGATGGTCAGTGGCGACCTTCAAGATTGACGGTCATCCGCCACAGCGCCTTCTCTTCCAGAACTCTGCGGAGGTAAGTTGAATCTAGATCCGTCGCTGTGAAATGCAGATTCCGCATCCATTTGGTGCTTGTTGAACGTTGCCTCTGTTAGGCTTGTGTGAGATCTGACCCACCTTCAACGCCACTAACTAGTGTTTGGTTCTCTCCTGCTCTTGCCACTGTACGACAGGCGTTTGCCGAACTGTTTGGGCATACGAACAACGCGCCTGGCTTCAAGCTCAAGGCTCGTGTTGATGAGGACCCTGACACAGGCGAGCGTCGCTATACCACGCCGGAAACTGGAACGTGGTGGAACGATGCTCAGGTATGGAAATTCCCTGTTGCCACCCAAAACCAGAAGAGTGCGCATGCCTCCGTTGATGCGCTGATGTGTAGGGAGCATCTTCAGTGTGTCATGTTTGTGGGGAGTTCTTTGAAGCATGCTTAGTCCGCCTGGCGACAAGTTACCTTGTTGGTGTTTGACCGTGTGCCTTTTCCCTCTTTGTCGTGCTTTGCAGGAACACTTTGGATGGTCCGAAGTCGTGGGGTGTATCATCCTATGCTCGGATGTGACGCACATGAGCAACAATGGCCGCTAATGATG